CTTCTTCTTCTTCTTCTTCTTCTTCTTCTTCTTCTTCTTCTTCTTCTTCTTCTTCTTCTTCTTCTTCTTCTTCTTCTTCTTACTTACTTACTTATTTACCCAGACTCGATTTTCCTTGAAAACTGTTCGTTTCGGCCCTTATTACTATTCTTCAATGTCTTCTTCTTGCCTGATTGATTCCTCATCTCTCTCTTCATCCTACTCTTTTTTTCCATTCATACGATGTCTATGTTAGGTAGCTTCAAACTGCTTTCCTAGTTACTCAGATCTCAACTCACTCCCTCCCACAAGGGGAGGGATCGATAATACATGATTGCTCCAATCATAAAGATGGAAAAAAAAAACCAGAAAAAAGGGAACGAATGGATCGTGAAGAAAAGTAAACTAAACTGTGGAATCTTGCAATCCCTATAAGGTTGTGCTGAGCTGGATTTCTGGTGCGAGTGTTTGAATTTTTGTGAGGCAAAGGGAGAAGAGAAGAAGGAGAAGGGTTAAGTTTATGATGGGTGTGATATGGGTTAGGTGTCTGTTGTTGTCGAGAGCCGAGGAAGAAGGGAGTGTAAAGGTCTGTAGGATTTGCATGTATCTTCTCGTTTCGATTGATTTCTTCTTATCATTGATCGAATGATCTCTTTGTTGGTTGATTACGATTCTAGACTTTAGCCTTGCTTGATACAATCCTCCTGTTGGGTCTGTTGGAGCTGAGATGCTTGGAGTTAGTGGGCGATTGCGAGTATTTGGTGCGAGTTTACGTCTTTCGATTGATGGGTCCGCCAGTCGTGGTCGTGTCCTGGTGGGGTACGGTATTATACGAGGACCCCATCCATGCTTCCCAGTTCTGACCCTTTGCTAACCGAACAAAAAAAGCCCCGCGGTTCAAAGAGTCCAAAAGGCAAAACGTAGAGTTGGAGGCAAAAATAATGACGCCGTGCTGCTTCATTCGGAAGGTGACTCTGTATAGGTACAGGTCTGATTTTGGGCCCCCCATCTCCTCCATTCGCATCCCCCGCTAACGTTCGTAGGATTCGAACTACCGGTTATCGCCCGGCCGGCGGTCATGAATTCTGGGGAGAGGTGGAACGAGGGAAAACTGTCTATTGGGTTTTCTATGGGGGTGGGTGAATGACTATCGTCCATTGTTTGAACGTTTGTTTCTATATCCTATTCAGATTGTGGAGATCTTCACGGCGCTGTGGCTCGAAGTTCTTTCTTTCTTCTCAATCCAGCCGCTTCATTCGAGACCACTATGGCATCAAGTTCGCATAGATATACCAGTGTTGGTAGCGAAAGCGATGTCTCCGAAGAATTATACAAAAACGAGGTCGATAACCAAAACGAGGAACATTCACCACAATCACAATGGCATCGTCCCGCGCGATCCAAGTCGATGAAGGTCGCCGCAGCCGCCGTCATCATCCTCAGCATCACCTCCCTCCTCGCAGCCTCAATCCAATACATCGCCTCGCAGCGTAGCAAGCTCCCCACGACCTCCTCCAAGGACGCAGACCCATACTACAACTTCCGCTACACCACGGACCTCGCCTCGCAAGACGACTACCGCGACCAGCACAGCCGCTGGAAAACCGCCTCGGGAGAATGGACCTCCTGCGGACACTCCCCACACGAGGCCCTCGAACGCGGCTGCAAGTTCGACATCATGTCGGCAGTCTGGATCCCACAGCCATGCTACAACGCGACGTTCGCGCACGAGATCGCCACCCTGCACCACTCCAACGCCACAACGCTCACCACGTCCCCGAAGCACGGCGTCTCCATGTCGAACTTCACGTGGCACTCTGACGAGTCGCTGTCGCCGGAGTCGCACATCCGCCTCGAGGACCTCGAGCAGTTCTTCATCGACAAGTTCGACCGCGGCGAGCGCCTCATCGCCTACTCCATCGAGAACTTCCACGTCGCGCACTGCCTGTACATGTTCCGGGCTGCGCTCATGGGGCTCGAGAGGGTGGCCGCGGGGGAGCGCGGCGTCTACGTGCACGACGAGGCCATGGGGAGGCCCCATGCGAATCACTGCCAGAACGTGCTGATGAACTATGAGAAGTGGAAGTCGGGGGTCGTGGCGCTGGAGTTCGGCATGGGGTGGTGTAAGAGGGTTTCGTGATCGGGGGAGAGGGGAGATTCGTGGAAGTGCTCCACGGTTGGGGTTTAGTTTAATCTTCCTTTTTTTGTTCGAGTTCGAGATTTACATAGGGATGATGGGGATTGTGGATAAGAATGAAATGAAGAAAAATTAGTTCAACATTTGAGAGTCTTGGGATTTTGTGGATTTCATCTAACATGTGATGGATGGTTGTCAATTCGTGGCGCCTTGTTACTACTTGGTATTTGACATATGATTTCTGTGCATTATCTATATATAAGCGTCATGATCAATGGGCATGATCGTGGGAGTTCATATATAGAACGTAGTTTCTATTTGAGATCTTATGCTATTAACACCGTCCGTCGTCCTAAGGAACTCCATCCAGCACGACATCTCCAGGCCTCTGCTTCAACTCCAAGACCCTAAACTTCCTCGGATCGACCTGGTGGCTGACAGCCCAATCCTTCAGCTCCCAAAAATTCTTGCACTTGTGCTTGGTGTTGAAGTCGACGAACAGCTGCTCCTCGGACTTCACCCAGTACTGCCCGAAGACGCCCGTGTCGGGCTGGCACATGAGCTGCTGGCGCAGGATGTCGGTGCAGTGGTTGACGTGCTGGCGGACGCCCTCGTCGTCGTGCCCGAACACCCCCTTGCCCTCGGCCTTGTAGTGCCCGTACGCCCAGTGGCTGCTCTGCCGCAGCAGGTTCAGGCAGTGCAAGTGGTGCTCGAACTCGAACAGCACGGGGAACCCGCCCCCGAGCTCCGGGGACACCTTCGCGAGGCCAGGATCCAGCCCGTACTGCGAGGCAAGCGCCTCCGGTACGACGTAGTGGTGGTCTGGGTGGACTGCGAGTTAGTCGGCATAGGAGCATTGTGCGTGTGAGTGTGGGAGGGGAGTGCGGGCGTGTAGGCGTGCATGTCGAAGACAAACGCCTAGTGGGGGAGGGTTTTACGTACTTTGGACTCCTAGGGATAGCCAGGCGTCGTCGACTTCTTTTCCGGGCGGGAGTCGGTAAGCGGAGCTGTTTGGATTCGAGAATGAGCCCTCGAATTGGACAGTGGAGTATTTGACCTTGACGTCTTGTTGTATTGGGGAGACTGCGGGATGTTGATTAGTGACTGGCGAAAGGTGAAATCGTTGACATGGTAAGAATAGTGCAATGACATACGACTTTGTGATGTATAGACGGAACAGACATCGTCGAGGTCCTCCTTCCTGTGGGAGAAGTATGTGAGGATGTTGAGAAGAATGGAAAGACTGAGGAGCACTAGAACACCCAATTCTAACCACCTCCGACGTTGAGGCAGTTGTTTTTGGGTTTCGTGCAGGAATGATGCCTCTTCTCCTTCTTCACCTTCGTCGAACCTCTCAATGTCCTTTTCTCTACTTTGCATGTCGGGCAAATGTGAGAGACAGGATTGGTCCTTGCTATTACTTCTTAACAACCCAAGTTCCCGGCTGTTGGGTTTTGTCGGAGGATATCCTTTGCACTGGGAATAAAAAGTCAAAAAGTGCACAGGTATTGGAGAAAGAGGAAGAAATGTCAACGATCGCTTTTCTCGCGGGGGATGAAGCCATTGTCGCAATTAATTACCATTAAGTGGTATTTGCGCCGTGCGCCTCGTCTCGTAAAGAAAACCAAAAGCTTACTTTAGCTTATCAGCGCCCAGCGGAAGGATCTCACTCCTCTCCACTATGTTGCCGTAATCCGCTATACAACAATCGCTAACGATCGCATTGGGCGTTTTTGATCGCCCAGTCCTAACCCAGTCTAGAAGGCATCAAGGAATCCTTTCAACGCGGTCGTTGGATGACACGACAAGGCTAATGTACGAAACCATATCTCGATTCGGACAATTGGTTGACGGCCGTTCAACTTGACTCTTGGGACCTCAGCAGTCAGCTTGCGAGGCTTCTGCCATTTTTGAGCAATATGCTTATCCTGGGATACGCTTTGACTTGGCAGCGCTTCAATGGGTCAAGAAAAAGTCAATTCCTTAGGAGCATGACAGCGAGATTCTGGTGATTCGAAAAACAAGGCCTCTAGCATCATTCTGTTTTCCGCATTGCGGATTGCCGAGTATGTTGCCATAGCAGTCCAGATCGATTGAACAAACGTTGGAAGGATCTCGCGTAGGCCTTTGATCCACATGTTGGTTACTACAACAGGGCAGTGTGCCTGGTTCAAAGGTGTAAGCTTGAAATGAAACTAAGGTGGTGAGAAGAAGGTGCTTATGCTCCGCACCTCAGGCCTCCTACGACCGTTTACTGGCCGTTCAACTACCGGCACATGGCGCTTCTCGTAATGATCCTTCGGGGTGTTCGGTACGATGGGTGGAATCTGTATGAAGCCTCCAAAACGGCAGGAGCATAGGGTAGAGAACATAGACGAACATCATATCTGAACCATGGAGATGCAACATCAGGATTGCCTGCTCGGCGTTATTAACTTGGCAAACGTATACCCATTGCCTAGATGAGTAACTTTAGGCAACCCGAGTCTAACAAAGTATAGGAAGGTAAGGCAATGATGCTATCGCTGATTTGCCAATGGATCTCCATAGAGAACGTAACTAACCATGCTGCGTGACTTTGGGTTTCGAAGTCGTGATAGTGGTAGAGTAGGTACCTACCGGGTAACGGCGGCGTACAGAGTGGCCAAGATGATATAGATTGGACACACCGTTGTTGGCCCGTATCGTCGGAAGAGTATATAGTGAGCATACCTCGAAGAAAGATCAAGGTATCCCGGATCGTCGGCCACCTTCCTGCATCATCAACCCCCCTTCCACCACCCGGACTCTTCCATTCTCGAAAGTCAAAAATGAGGGCTTCATTCCTGGTATTGACCTTGGCCGGTCTGGCTGTTGCCGCGCCAGTGCCTGTGAGTGGGACCTCGCGTTTGTAAGCCATGAATCTAATTGACTCTATCGCTAGGCCAGCAACTCAGTTGAGCGTTCGGAGGCTGCAGACTACATCTATCCCATCCCCCCTTCGGTGGCTCCTGAGAAGAGGGAGAAGGCTGCGGACTATATCTACCCCATCCCTCCTTCAGTCGCTCCTGAGAAGCGAGAGAAGGCTGCGGACTACCTTTACCCTATCCCAGCTTCAGCAGCGCCCGAGAAGAGGGAGAAGGCTGCAGACTACATCTACCCCATTCCCCCCTCGGTTGCTCCTGAGAAGCGAGAGAAGGC